GGCCAGTGACACAAAATCTCAATTTAACACAACAAAATGTGGAAAAAGTCAAGGGGTGTGAATACAGTCAATACAGGTCTAAGATTGAATCATACTACACTGGCTCTGACGCTCGTCGGATGTGGCAGGGCTTGAAAACTATTACAGACTACAAAGGGAAGCACAGCCGCGAGCTGCCCAGTGACACAAGCCTACCAGACGAGCTAAACCACTTCTATGCTCGCTTCGAGGCAAGCAACACTGAAGCATGCATGAGAGCACCAGCTGTTCCGGACGACTATGTGATCACGCTCTCCGTAGCCGATGTGAGTAAGACTTTTAAGCAGGTCAACATTCACAAGGCCGCAGGGCCAGACGGATTACCAGGACGTGTACTCCGAGCATGTGCTGACCAACTGGCAAGTGTCTTCACTGACATTTTCAACATGTCCCTGACTGAGTCTGTAATACCAACATGTTTCAAGCAGACCACCATAGTCCCCGTGCCCAAGAACTCTAAGATAACCTGCCTAAATGACTACCGACCCGTAGCACTGACGTCTGTAGCCATGAAGTGCTTTGAAAGACTGGTCATGGCTCACATCAACAGCATAATCCCAGAAACCCTAGACCCACTCCAATTTGCATACCGCCCCAACAGATCCACAGATGATGCAATCTCTATCGCACTCCACACTGCCCTTTCCCACCTGGACAAGAGGAACACCTACGTGAGAATGCTATTCATTGACTACAGCTCAGCATTCAACACCATAGTGCCCTCTAAGCTCATCACTAAGCTAAGGATCCTGGGACTAAACACCTCCCTCTGCAACTGGATCCTGGACTTCCTGACGGGCCGCCCCCAGGTGGTAAGGGTAGGTAACAACACATCTGCCACACTGATCCTCAACACGGGGGCCCCTCAGGGGTGCGTGCTCAGTCCCCTCCTGTACTCTCTGTTCACCCATGACTGCATGGCCAGGCACGACTCCAACACCATCATTAAGTTTGCCGACGACACAACAGTGGTAGGCCTGATCACCGACAACGATGAGACAGCCTATAGGGAGGAGGTCAGAGATCTGGCCGTGTGGTGCCAGGACAACAACCTCTCCCTCAACGTGACCAAGACAAAGGAGATGATTGTGGACTACAGGAAAAAAAAGAGGACTGAGCACGCCCCCATTCTCATCGACGGGGCTGTAGTGGAACAGGTTGAGAGCTTCAAGTTCCTTGGTGTCCACATCACCAACGAACTATCATGGTCCAAACACACCAAGACAGTCGTGAAGAGGGCACGACAAAGCCTATTCCCCCTCAGGAGACTAAAAAGATTTGGCATGGGTCCTCAGATCCTCAAAAAATTCTACAGCTGCACCATCGAGAGCATCCTGACTGGTTGCATCACCGCCTGGTATGGCAACTGCTTGGCCTCTGACCGCAAGGCACTACAGAGGGTAGTGCGTACGGCCCAGTACATCACTGGGGCAAAGCTCCCTGCCATCCAGGACCTCTATACCAGGCGGTGTCAGAGGAAGGCCCTCAAAATTGTCAAAGACTCCAGCCACCCTAGTCATAGACTGTTCTCTCTGCTACCGCACGGCAAGCGGTACCGGAGTGCCAAGTCTAGGTCCAAAAGACTTCTCAACAGCTTCTACCCCCAAGCCATAAGACTCCTGAACAGCTAATCATGGCTACCCGGACTATTTGCACTGCCCCCCCCACCCCATCCTTTTTACGCTGCTGCTACTCTGTTAAGTATTTATGCATAGTCACTTTAACTCTACCCACATGTACATATTACCTCAACTACCTCAACTAGCCGGTGCCCCCGCACATTGACTCTGCAACGGTACCCCCCTGTATATATAGCCTCCCTACTGTCACTTTATTTTACTGTATATATAGCCTCCCTACTGTCACTTTATTTTACTTCTGCTCTTTTTTTCTCAACACTTTTTTGTTGTTGTTGTTTTATTCTTACTTTTTTTGTTTAAAATAAATGCACTGTTGGTTAAGGGCTGTAAGTAAGCATTTCACTGCAATGTCTGCACCTGTTGTATTCGGCGCATGTGACCAATAAAATTTGATTTGATTTGATTTGATTTGAATACTTTCTAAAGGCACCCTATCTTATAGGCATAGGCCAATATGTGATAGTTTAGCTCATTACAGCTTTGTCATTTAACTCAGCATTGTTTAGGCTATCCTACCTTTCCTTCCTTCCTCCGAGATGTTTTGCTGCATGGCTGAAAAACAATCTAAATTGATATTTTCAATTAAATATGGTTATGCTGAAAGATTTGATTAAAGTTTGATTAAATAGATGATGCGCTTGCTGCGTTTTACTCCGGATTGCACAATAATTGCATTAGAGCGTTTGTGTGTCCCACTGGGTATCGGTTTGATTATTTGATTTGTTATCAATTAAAATGAATTCAATATGCATTTTTGGTTGCAAGTCCAATAGCCTAAGTTAAAATAACATGGAGACTGCTTCAACCAGCTTGTGTCCATGATGTAGCCAAAATTCTAGAATATCTGATACCATAGTGGTAGTAAGATTAGAAACCCCCAATATTGACCTGTCGATCTGTTTCAAAGAAAAATGTAACCTACAACAAAAAACAATCCTCTCACCAGTGGCGTGTATTCATGGATGCCAAGGGAAGCCAGGCTTCCCCCAAAGATATTCCAAGAAACAAATAATAAATACATAATTTTCCTTCAATTCTCAAGAGGCTGAATGTATTTTACTGGAGAAAGCATTTGAGCGAGCAAAACAGCGCCCTTCTATCTGTACATGTAGGCCATCTATCTGATGCTGTCTGGTCCAAACGAGTATGACATTGTTGCCGCCAGTAGCATTGAATGGAATGCAAGGGAAGCCAGTAAGCATTTGGCCTCCCTTGATAAAGAAAAAGTATTTAAAAAATTGCCAATCAGCATTGAGCTAAACTGAGCGAGCTCAACTGTGAATGGTCCTGGTGCACCAAAACAAAGTGTCATGGGAAGCCAGCTTGGATTTTGGCGTCACTCCTATCAAAAAGCATTGAGAGCATACATCATTGACAGAAACAACTTGAATTGTTGCATCTCGTTGTGTTGTTGTTGTCCTCCGGTGGCTAGCTAGCTAGCTAAAATTGGCCCTTTCCTAAATTAGCCATGGATGGAGATAGGGATTTGGACTTGTGGTTTTACTTAATTCTCCGTACTGGTCAATGATTATAATGGCGATTCTGATCCAACCATTAATTCATACATTGTTGTGCCCTTGGCATGAGAGGATGGAAGTTCAGTATGTAGCTAGTAGAATGCTAATGTCTGTTACATGCAATATGCTTTGTGGACTAAACCGGACAGAGGTTGCTATCAGGTTTTGTGATAAAACAAAGGTGTGGTTGAATTTATTCTGCCGCTGTGTCTTCTTATTGTCTCGGCCTTAGGCCTATATATCACTGTCGCAAGGCATATGAATTAACAGGTTATAGAGCAAAAAACGCAATTATCACACCACATAGGTTATAATATGGCTTTTTTTTCTGGCTTCCCCAGTGAATTTATCCACGCACTGCTACTGCCGCTCACCTGTTAATGGCTGGGACCATGCAATTAAAGATCAGTGCACTTTTCTCACATTGGATGAGAAAATAGCAAATATGCTGAACATATAGACGCAACATGCAACAATGTCAACAATTGTACTGAGTTACAGTTCATATAAGGAAATCAGTCAATTGAAATAAATAAATTAGACCCTAATTTATAGATTTCACATGACTGGGCCTGGGAGGGCATAGACCCACCCACTTGGAGCCAGGCCCACCCACAGGGTAGCCAGGCCCAGCCAATCGGAATGAGTTTTTCCCCACAAAATGGCTTTATTAGAGACATGTAGAGTTTAAAAAGTACTAGCACTCAAAACCATGAAGAGGAATAACCCAAGGAGGCCGAGATGAAAAAATAATATAATTAATTTAATCCATGCTCAAAAGAATACAAAAAGTGAAAGTGCAAGGTGCTGATAAAAACCAAAATAAACAGAGCATACGTTTCGGCCTTATGCCTTCATCAGTGATGTACCAACAAATTAAGAAGTCACGTAGCAGATAGTTAATTAGAGACTGGCGAATAGGGAGTCAAGGAATATATAAAAGAGTTTTTTAAAAATGACAATTCATATGTCATATATAATTGGGAAGAGACAACAGTCTGGGCTACTTTTTAGACTATTAATGAATGTGAGTGATAACCATGTATTTTTTGTTTCATATTTATTATCACAATGGGACGCAACCAAACTGTGACAACCAATCTGACCTGTTGTGAGCGATGTCACATGAGCATGTGTCTACATTGCTGTGCACGTGCTGCAGTGTGTAAACGTGTAATGTTTCGTCTGGTCCTGGTGGCTGCAGTCTCTCTGGTAAAAGATAACTTAACCTGATGTCATTCGACCTAAACCCATCAAAACCTATAGTAGCCTAATAGAACATTCTCGTCCATTTATGACACATTTTTATTGATGCGTTTCATACAATAAATGAGAGCAACTATAACGTGTCTGCAGTTTGTTTTGCCACCCTAGATTAATCTTTGCTATTTGTTGACAGATCTAATGAATATTTTAGGTGTTGTGGGTCCTGGATGGTGGGAAATGCTGGATCATTTGCCCCAGGGTACAATTGTAATCTGCCTCATTATCAGATTCACACAATGGCCTAGCCTACGTTTAATTCAAGACAACTTTATTACATGTTATTATAGCCTACCTGCTTTGCTGAAATGTTCGGACCAAGGATTTCACCTCCTTGTCCATTGTTCATTCCGCAGCATGCTTTTCCTGAAATACGACACCGCGCGCCAATTAATAAAACATTGCTTGTGTCCAAATGACTGATCACCCGAGCCCTTTCAGCTGTATAAGTGGTGAAAGGCGACATAATCTTCTTTGGAAAAGATCTAGATTGAGATTGAGAGACGCAGACAGAGACCTGCAGAGAGCTAGACCAGGCAGCATGTTAAAACCGCAGCAAAGCGAGCTCCTCTTGCACGAGTCGCGGTTGTATGGGAAGCCGTGGTTCTGGCAGCGGAATTCCAGCACCATGGAGAGCAGCCGGAGCCTCGCGCAGGTGATCATGGAGATGCGCAACGAAATCAAGAAGCTCGAGACGGAGAACAGTGTGCTACGGGGGGAATTCGGTCAGCCGACGATTGGGACTGAGCCAGGGGAACCGAATCCGTATTCACCGGCAGGCCAGCCCAGGACCGGGGCTGACGACAACCCATCCCACATGAACCTGAGACGGAATGCGTCCGCGCCCGCACTCGAGCAGCAGTACAAGGGTAAAGTCGCACTATTAGGCTATTATGTTGTAACTGCATTTTTCGTTTTTAACAGCAAGATAAAGCAAACAATTTTAACGTATCAACATTGTTTGAAATTAGGCTATTTAAAGCTAGGCCTAGTTTGAACAAAATAATCTGATCAACTTTGTTTATTGATTTCACAGAGAACATTGTAATGACCGTCCGGAGATACTCAATCGCCTCCAACATGCCAAGTGTGATCAGGAAGAGTGAGAGCGAAGATAGGGTGTCGAAGGATGGAGAGGTTGCGAAGGGAAGCAACTCAAGTTGGGGTCGACTTCATGAGGAAGTCCACGGAAGGGCCCCATCCATCTTCGGGAATTCCACGCGAGACGAGATCAGCACCACTGCAAAGACGTTAACCAATAGGTTCTTGCTCCAAGAATATGTGCACAAAAACAGGTGAGTGGCCCAGTGGGCCTTCTCATCCAACCTCACCAGAACTTTTAGATAACCTAATTTAAAACTAAATGTAGAATATCGCTTAGGTTGCTATTAATTCCATATTATTTTGCAGGACCAAGGTAAAGACGGTCACTTTTCTTCTGCCCGTGGATAACATCTACACCAACCGACCAGTTCTGGCCAACCATCTGACAGATCTGGATGCGATTGCGGAGACAGATTCGTGAGGTGAAGATGGATGGCGACAGATGGACTCTTTGGCGGGACAATATCTATTCTATAGCCCATCAATCTGTGAAGAGCAGGGAGTTAGGCCTACATAAATAGGCCTATCACACAAACAGTATCTAGGTCAGTATGTCAGCTACATTGTTTTTTAGGTCAGCCAGAAGATTGATTTTATCGAACCTGACCCGAACTCCACACACGGGGACTCCGGTTACAGGTGTTGTTTCCATCCGGCCGAGGTGATCCAACGCCCGGTCATCAGTGATAAGCCGCCAGCCCTCCCTCTGTTGCAACACAAACACAACACTCCCTCCACGGATCAGATGTCCAGCCCTGCAGCCCATCATGTCAATCGGAACCTTGAGAACGCTGCAGGTGACGATCGTTTTAGTGACAGTGTGGTCTCTTTTTGGGCATGCAGCCTCTTGGTGAATTTCAGGGTAATCACTTATTCACCTGTTTTTCTTAATGCACACCATGTACTGTAGGGTGGCTTTGAGAAAAAATAAATCGGCCTATCAATATTTTGTATTGGGTCAAGACAGAGAGAAAACAAATTAATTAGAACAAGGGTGTTCCTTATTACAGATGTTATTTTATTCTCTCAAATTAATATTGTCCCTTATTTTCCTTGGCATTCATGTACAGTAAATGAAGTAAATTAATTGCAAGTTCATTTTATCTGATTTGGTTCTGCTGAAATGAACAGTAGGCCTATATCATTCAATATATCATTTGTAAATAGTCAATAAGCTACTTACTTATTTTGTCTAACTTGATATATCATTTTGTCTTGATTAAGTATTTCAGTCTTATTATAAATGTTATGTAAAGGTTTGTGCATTCTTTTTCTAGATATAATATTTACACACATTATTGACTTTTTCATAATATTAAATGTTATCTTATTGCTTGGGTATTTTAATATTTTAGGCTTAAACAGTCTTCAACCATTCAAAAAAACATTAATAGGAGGCTACATTAATTTTTTTACGCATTCAAACTCCATAGACAATATAATATTGGCAGAGGACTGTCAAATACTTCATCAGGAAATACAAATTATATGTATGTAAATGGACAACCTTAGTATGTCCATTACTCATATATATATATATATATTGTATATATATATATATATATATATATATATATATATATATATATATATATATATATATATATGTGTGTGTGTGTGTATATATAAATCTATATACATATATAGGCCTACGCATATGTTTACGTCAGACTTGTGTTCAAATACATATATAAGTATTTGTTATTTAAATACTTATTTTCTGTGTATTTTAGTTTTAAAAAATTATGTGGCCAAATCAGCTACTTCTATTTGAAGTATTTGAAAGTATTTTCAAATAACGTCCCATAAATAGCCTAAACTATTTTCAAATACAAATTTCCAAATGCATTATTTAAAAAACCCCTAGGACAAAACAGACTTGGGTTCAAATGATTGGAGTATTTCAATATCTGTGTATTTGAATATTTTTAAAATACATGCCAATACTTTCCAATTGTATTTCCAGATTCATTCCAATATTCAACTACTTGTGTTTTGAAATAAACAATATCCAAATACTTACTTTGAAATGTCTTTGAAAGTAATTGAAATACCCTAAATATTATTTGAACACAGGTCTGGTATACGTTCACCCTGCAGTCTGGTAGCTCTGGTCCCATCGCACAACGACAATGAGTTACCTACGCACACTAATGCCCTGGACCAGAGGTACCAGTCTGGTTACAGTTGACTTCTACATATCACATAGATGGCAGTGCTCCGTGGGAGAGATCACATAAAATGCTAACATTATCAAGATGACCATAGACACTGTAATTTCTATGTCTATAAAACACTGTAGGCTCACGGAGTATAGGCTCATCAGCAGAGAGAGTCCACTTTAATTTATTTTCCTATATTCCAGCGGTTGTGGTCCAATTGAATGGGTGGGTCACTTAAGCTCAGTTTATACCTGGTGCTAACATGCGTCCTTTGCCTGATCTTGTCCACATTCGAATTGTGCCCACCTTTTTAGACAGGTGTAGACGATTAGAAGATGTATTGTGATCTAATTGTGATCTGATGTTCCTGACAATCTCCGGAGGTAGTTAGGGATGCATTGTGTCTGGATATCTTAGTGTAGGCGGATCTGGACAGTAAAACATATTAAATCATCACTATCCCGCCCTCTAAAATCATTGACAGTTGGCACCATTGATTTATCAATGTGTCTTAAAATGAACCAAAAAAATATTATTTTGAAATAATATCTGTCAAATAATTTGCATACCAGGAGGGACCAGGAAATCTGGTCACAAGGATAAGAGACACATTTTAATATGTGTCTCTTATCAGGTGTAGATGCAACGGCGAAAATGTGGGCACAATCAGAATGAGGACAAGATCAGGATAAAGTATGTGTTAGCACCAGGTATAAACGGGGCTACAGTGACTGGTCTGGATAGTATTTCAACAGTTCAGAGGACCACACAGAAACTGGTCCGGATGTGTTTGTTCCTGTGAGTGGAAGGAGGAGCCTCAGCCTCTATGGGACTGGGACTCTGGGACAAGTTTGCTCCGGTCAGCTGGTGGTCTGGGTTGGGGACACCTCCCTCCACTGACTTGGTGTCACTGTGAAGACTGCCGTAGCTCTCTGAGTCCCGAGGTTTACCTGTGAAACACACACACCTCCCGAGAGTCAATACTGCAGGCTGAGTGGGAGGTAATGGAGGTAACCAATAGGAGAAATCTAAAAGAAATGGAGGAGCAGTCTTTTACCTATGACTTAAAGATCATCTTAGAATAAGATGAAGAATATAAGATATTAAGAATATAATACTTAAATAAAATGTACATATTCAAGAATATCATTAAATAAAAAGAAAGAATGAAAGAAAGAAAGAATGATGCAATAAAATAAACAGGAGGAGGCACCTGTGAGGCCCTTGGCTCTGGCTTGTGGCTGGGGGTCAGTGAGCTGAACTGAGGGCGGCGGGTCGGTCAGGCTGTCTCCATACTCCATGGGCACTGCGGGGTTCCTGTCCTCACTCTGCACCCTCTGGATGGCTGTGGGATTAGATTCCAACAAAGAGGTCTAGCGTTAGAGTGAGGCATTAATAATCGACCACAGCCAAGTGAGGGAAACTAGAATGGGGTTAGTGTTTGTCTCTGTGGTGATTATGGCTAAATGCGCCATAAATATCGGGGAACAGAAAACCTGGTGAGATAATGCACACTAGGCTGAGCTACCTCAAAGTCAAAGAATTAGACACACAAATAAGATGCAACAAGGTGAGACACACGTCTAAGAAAGTTCCTCAGGTGTACTGTATATTTATAAAGGTGTGTATTTTTAAAGAGAGTAGTTGAGAGGCAGACAGACAGACAGACAGGAGAACCTTGTTTACCCGGTCTATACAGGGCTGCCTCTGTGCTGCAGTCCCGTGCCGACTGGACAGACGCACGGCCCGAGTCGGCCTCCTTAACTGAGCGGCCCATGATCTGGTGCTCCGTGGCGTTCAGGTTCCCTTTCAGGAAGTAGGTGGACATCCTGCCCTTCCCCTTCACATCGATCTCCCCTCGCTCTTGGAGCATGAAGCCCTTGTCTTTCAGAATCCTGGAGGAGGAAGACATATGAAAACAAAGCCTGCATCCCAAATGGCACCGTTTTCCTTATATAGTGCACTACTTTTGACCAGAGCCCTATGGGCTCAACCAACCAAGCACTCAATTAATAAATCAATCCATCAACCAACCAACTAACCAACCAACCAACCAACCAATCAACCAATCATCAAGCACTTTTTGACAACAGTTGATATAAAAAGGGCTTTATAAATAAAATTGCTTGCTTGCATTCTTGATCGATTGCTTGATTGATTTGATTTCCTGCAGTTCAGTCATGTGACATGAGCTGAGGTCTTACAGGTAAACACTGGGGCTGAGGTGGATCTTGTTGGGGAGGCCGTGGCTCTCCATGCGAGACGCCGTGTTTACTGTGTCTCCAAACAGGCAGTACCGAGGCATCTTCTCCCCCACCACACCAGCTAGAACCGGCCCGCTGTGTACACCCACCCGGATCTACAGCAGAGAGGTATTGGTTGTTTTTTAAATATATTTTGTGGGATATTTTTACTTTATTGAGACAGAAATAGGTGGAAATGAGCATTGAGTAGTGGAAGGATTCATATCCACGCTGGGGGTTGACATTTATGTGCTGCTAACGGCTGAGTTACCCACTAGACCAGCCTCAGACACAGAGAGAGGTATTGTATTGTGATTATAAACTAGCAGGAGAACTGAGAAAGATCAGCTCAAAAAGAAAGACAAGGGCGGGGAAATACAACCCTTTGGATTTGGATCAATGGAACAATGCTGTTACAAAAATATAGGGAAGAATCAATTCAGCATTCAAATACACCAGCGATCTGTGTGTCTCACCTGGATAGGCCCCCCTGTGATGGGGTTGATAACCTCCCTAGCTGCTATGATCATGCCCAGGGAAAAGTTGGCCACCCTCTCAGCATGGCTGGACACTGGGATGGGCACGCCACCTACCACCATGTAGGCATCACCTATGGTCTCCACCTGATGCAGACACAACCACAGGCAGATTGATATTGGTGAGATAAGTACTGGAATAGCTATTCCAGGCTGCCTGGTCCAGATGAATGAATAGATGGATATGTAGAATAATGTTTAAATTATGAATGATAAATATGTTATATTTATTATGTTTAGCCTATCTGACAAATGTAATATTTTGTTACCTTGTAAACTGTGTGTACTGTGGTGAGCCGGTCAAACTTGAGGTACATGGAGTTGAGCATGTTGACGATCTGGATGGGCTCACACTCCGAGCAGATGTTGGTGAAGGTGACCACGTCACTGAAGAGGATGGTGCACTCCTTGAACTCTCCTTTAGAGCAAACAGAACCACAACCACCACCGACCATATGGCCATTTCCATAAATATAGCACTGTTTGAGTCCTTTTGCAATGTCGAGAACAATAGTGAAAACAAGTTATTCTGCTTAATACTTATCCACTATGTAGCTGGCCTGTTGATTCATATCAACTAATTTTGTGTGTGTGTGTGCACGCATGTGTGTGTGCTGTTCATGCACAAGAATTGTGTGCGTGTGCGTCGTGCGTGCGTGTTCGTCTTTCTGGCTCTCTGTGTCCGTCTGTCTGTGTCTATCTGTTTGTTTGTCTGTCTGTCTGTGTTCTGTGCTTCAAAGACAGATGTGTCTGGGAGCCGCTGGCTCTGTTGTGGTGCTGTCTAAATCTGTAGTTCATGCCTTCATTAAATATGTAATACACTGCAGCAAGGCAGGGAAATATCCTTCAAAAATCCCAATTCCATTCTGTACATCTCTACTGTCTGTTGTGTGTCAGAGCAAGGGAGGCATAGGCTACTGTATACTGGTATTGGCAGACAAGTTTTTGGCCCCACTAGGGCATTTCACACACCACCAATCCTCTCACCAATTCTTTCCTTTCCACTCCTCTTTATTCCTCTAATCTTCTCCCCTCTTCTCCTCACCTCCCCTCCCCTTCTCTCCCCTACTCTCATCTCCTCTCCCCACCTCTCCTTTCCTCAACTCGCCTCTCCGCACCTTTCCTCTCTTCTATTCTACTCTCGCCACCTCTCCTCTCCCTGTGTCATTCACCTGCTTCCACTCTCTTCCCCTCCTTCAGCTGGTTGGCCACGTGTTTGGGCAGCATGGCGTACAGCAGGTTCTCCGTCTTGGTCCTCTCCTCCTCCAGATGCTGGGACAGGTGTCGGAGCTCCTCCTTCTTCCTCTCCAGCTGGTTGGAGAGCTCCATCTCAGCCAGCCGCTGCTGGTTGAGCAGGATGAGGTCCCGCGTGACGTCGTGAGGGGCGATGTCAGAGATGTGCATGCGCCGCTCCTCCAGCTCGTGGAGGCTCCGCAGCAAAGGGGAGGCCTGGTACAGCATGCACTGCAGAGACTCCATCCACAACATCTGGCCTGGGAACAGGGGAGTAAGGGGTACGGGGGGGGGGGGGTGTTTCTGTCAAATGGTTATAGTGGGATAGGTTGCATAAGTGGCATGACACAACAACAAATAACCATTCATGTATTTCTTCCTTCCTTTATTCATCATGCATTCATCCATTCACCCATCCATTCTTTCATTACTTCAACCGTTCATTCATTCATTCATCTGTACATTCATTCCACCTCTGAGCTCCAGCATGGGTCTATCCCTCCAGGCTTCGGGCATCATGTCGCGTCGCGTCTGCAGGACAAAGTGGCTGTTGATGAACTTCCTGATGCTGGAGATGGTGAAGGTGACCTCGGGGTGGACGATACTGAAGTACTGGTCCAGGTGAATGCTCGTGGTCTGAAGCCCGGGGACGATCTTCTGGATGTTCACCCCCGCCTGTCTCACCATCAGCTGCAGGGGTTGGACCAGGGAGCAGAGATTCAGGTTGCGTCCCAAATGGCACCCTATTCCTTATATACTGTAGTGCACTACTTTTAACGAGGGTCAATAGGGCTCTGGTCAAAAGTAGTGCACTTCAGCAGCCTCACTCCATGTATGAAGATTACAATTCACCATATCTACACAAAGGGCCAGTTTCTGGACACAGATTAAGCCTAGTCCTGGACTAAGAAGCACTTCTAATTTAGATTCTCCATTGAGAATGCTTTTTAGTCCATGACTAGGCCTAATCTGTGTCCGGGAAACCATCCCAGTGCTTATCTGTCATTACTAAAGCACACTGTAAAAAGTGGGACGGCGCTGTTGTTCATCGGAAGTGCTTTTTTTGATTGGTATGATCCATAATTACACTTTGGTTCCTTCAACCTATTCTATTCAATATGTATGAATCAAATAAAGAATTTGACAGATCGATGTGATTTTTTTTATTGAATGAAAGCTTCTAAATTGCTTTCAACATCACATGTGCATTTGCATTGCATAGCGGTGGGTGCAATGTAGCAGTGGCAGCCTATCAGAAGAGTTGGAGGCATGGCCTACTTTTCAGTTTGTTATTTTTGGCCACCTGTGAGAGTGAATGTCATTCCAGGTAATGTGTTCTGTTTTTTTATGATTATATGTTCACTGCCAGCACTGAATCTTAAAGGGAAATGTAAAAAAATGTCAACTTCATATTCATCATCTCCAGCACCACCCCAACATCAACATGTGTGAAAATGGCGCATTTCTATGTTTGGTAGTAAAAAAGATAGAAGAAGGTAAGTGTTTCCAATGACATCATCAACCAATTAGTAGACAATTAATAGGCAATTAGTAGGCAATGCCTACTCATGATTGGTTAAAATCGCATGATGCACACTGATGATGTCATTGGAAACACTTATCTTCCTCTATCTTTTTTTACTACAAAACATACAAATGTGCCATTTTCACATATGTTGGGGTGGTGCTGGAGATGATGAATATGAAGTTGAACAATTTTGACATTTCTCTTTAAATGATATCTCTGTAAGTACTGTGATTCTAAAGAGCCTGGAAATGTTTCAATTGATGAGATGGTCACCATTTGGTTACAATATTGGTAACCAGTTCATGTGAAATTCTAATGTAAAGAAAGTGTTTGGAGTCATTATTTCATTTTCAGGACCAACTTAATATCTTGATTAACTGGAAACTGATGTAATTGCTTGTAACCCAATTGAAGAAATGTGGATAGGTAACTCCAAAGTGAAAAATCAACTTGGTACATAATAAAAAATTGGGTTGTAGCCATATATATTAGTTTGTATTTATGTTATTTAATCTGCTTAACACTTAGGGGAAAAGTTTGTTAAGTGTTGAAAGAAATAAATTGCAACTTGAAATAAGGGTTTGTTAATAATGCAGTATAACAGTTGGCATTGAATGATATATTTGGTTTCAACAAGTGTCGTTTTTTTCAATTGAGAAACCTGTCACACCAGCCTTCGCTTTGGCTCCCCTTCCTGTCCAGCTCAGGCGTTCGGCGTCGCCGGCCTTCTAGCTACTGCCGAACCTGCTGCTGGCAAACGCCCTTCACTCATCAACCCCGGACTTGTCTCGTCATCATTACACACACCTGGTTCCAATCCCCACTCTATCACTGTATATATATGCTCCCTCTGTCATTTGTCTTTGTCGGTCATTGTATACAGTATGTTGCTTGTTTTCCTGAGAGGAATCTCGCCTACTATTTCCTGAGTACTTTATATTTTGCACTGTGGGTTTCGTCCCGCTTTAAGCTATGGTGCTTTAATAAATTCAGTAGTTCTAAACCTGCAACTGCCTCCTGCCTACTCTTCTCTACGCTTGTGACAAAACCTAACAAATGTACTTGTAACCAGTTGACTTTTTTTTTTTAGGTTGATCCAAATAGTATTTATTTTTTTACAGTGCACTCAATACCAAGAGGGAATCTGGGAGATAATATTTTTGTACCTCCTCATCGAACACTATATGGAAGGGAAAGGCATTGCAAAATGTCTTCAGGTCGATGCAAAGGTTCTTCGGGTAGACTGGCTCAAATCCTCTCAAGAGTTTGCCTATAAGTGAAGTAAACATCTATTAGTGATACCAAGACAAGGATATCAAGATTAGAGATATCAAGACAAGGAAGATGGAATTGACTGGCTTTATCGATATCTGAGGCAGAATGAGCCAATCCATTAGAAAAGGAATGATAAGAGATGTTTGGGCTTTACCCTTCCCAAGTTGGACCAACCCCCTCACAGTCTCCCAGTGGTTCCTACACATGGAAAATCCCTGAGATTGATGTTTCCTCTGCAATGATTTCTGTATGTCCTGATGGATGGGGCGAGGGACACATTGGAGGAAATTCATGTTATGGTTAAATTGCATAAAAAGGTTCACCTTCAAACCATATGGAAAATTGGCTGTGTTGTGTTGGGTTATTGAGATAGTTTTGGGACAATTATTTGGAGATCATCAGAGATGGCATCTGCTTGTTTCTGTAGCCTATGTATGTGTCCCCACAATAGCACCCTATTACCTATGGGCCCTGGTCAAAAGTGGTTTACTATCAAGGGAATAGGGTGCCATTTGTGACGCACCCAATGATTTGAGGGTCATCTGCTGTACTGACACGGATTTTACCTCCTTGTTTGGGTTCCAGTGCATTGCATTGCGCCTGGGGCCTCTGGGCAAACATGGCGGCGTCTGTGACAGCTTGTTACTGCAAACTGCATTCGAAAATGTCGGTTTCTGAGTGACGAGGAAGACTACATGCTCCTTCTTTCCTGTCCTTTCTACTTCCTCTATTTGGTTGACGATTTCCATCGTTATCTCGCTGTTGAAGAAGTCTTTTGCTACAGCTTCAATGATACCTGTGGAAATGGGGAAACAGTCGTTTCACTTTTATGCACAAAGGCCCTACTTTTACGCACGCTAACATCTCACTATATTGAGTGTATTAAGTTGTTAACAAATTTGTTCTTAACGTCAATAATTGTATCTATCAGCATTCAGGAATAATTACCGGGGACAATTTGGCATAGGCCTCGGCGGTCGGAGTAATAGTGAAGAAACATTGTACCGTCACCGTTCCTCTCCGCTCGAAATGACGGCGCATTCATCTCCTGCAAGCATATTTCCAAATCATTTGACACAATTTTTTTCTGTCCAAAATATGACATGTATCCATTGTCAACTATTTATAGATCGATTATCACATCTAGACCTATATCAATAGAGTAGGCTACGGATTTGTTATATAATATAGGCCTTATCAGTGCTGTTGTCAGAAGAAGACTAGGCCTACTAACCAGGGCACCGTGCCAGCGTTCTTAACCCAATCCTTTGAACCCCCCCCACACACACACCCCACACACACACACATTATACCTTGTAAGAAAGGGCGAGGTAGCTGTGCAGTGCATCCAGATTCTCGATAAACTCGAATAGGTTCCCTCCTAGAGTCCGTAACATGTGGTCGTATCCAGATCGTTTACAAAAGTCAAAGAAGTATTCCCCAAATTGTCTCAACACCACCTCTGGTTTAACATCTTCGAAAATAAAAGAAAGTAGTCCTAATGAATACATAGGCTAATACCAACATGTACGCCTTTACGTAAAAAATCACACTAAACACATTTTGATCTATCTTGTAATATTTATACATTTAATTTGTATCATCATTTTGGTCATGTATTTTGCCTCTCAGCAACAGAGTTTCAATATTCCATTTAAACTCAAGCCATGCAGTGCAAGAAATTCACTATTCTAAAATGATTCCTAACTTTTCGTAGCTATTTCTCAATCCATGATTTGAATTATAATTCCTAATCTGGAAGTAACCGTGATTGGCATGGAATTGTACCCTATTATAATACATCTCAGCATTGATATTAGCTCCGGTGCAGATTGTTAGTGCGCGACCTGGTCCAGAGCTACATTGATATATGATGTCGCAGGTTATTTATCAAAGAATGGTAAATTAGCCTACCCAGTAGCTTGCAGGCCGCAGCCACCAGTTGCATGGTGATGTCGTCTTTGTACACTTCATATGTCAAGAAGGTATCTTGAACCCCGGCCTCATCTCTGCATATAATTATGATGATGATGATGATGATGATGATGATGAGCTAATTTCAGCAGGTTACACATCCCATTGATGACCAATAAACAGAAAGCAGTGAATGAATCCATCAATTAGCTAGCCTATACAGTGGGGGAAAAAAGTATTTAGTCAGCCACCAATTGTGCAAGTTCTCCCACTTAAAAAGATGAGAGAGGCCTGTAATTTTCATCATAGGTACACGACAACTATGACAGACAAAATGAGAAAAAAAAATCCAGAAAATCACATTGTAGGATTTTTAATGAATTGATTTGCAAATTATGGTGGAAAATAAGTATTTGGTCAATAACAAAAGTTTCTCAATACTTTGTTATATACCCTTTGTTGGCAATTACACAGGTCAAACGTTTTCTGTAAGTCTTCACAAGGTTTTCACACACTGTTGCTGGTATTTTGGCCCATTCCTCCATGCAGATCTCCTCTAGAGCAGTGATGTTTTGGGGCTGTCGCTGGGCAACACTGACTTTCAACTCCATCCAAAGATTTTCTATGGGGTTGAGATCTGGAGACTGGCTAGGCCACTCTAGGACCTTGAAATGCTTCTTACGAAGCCACTCCTTCGTTGCCCGGGCGGTGTGTTTGGGATCATTGTCATGCTGAAAGACCCAGCCACGTTTCATCTTCAATGCCCTTGCTGATGGAAGGAGGTTTTCACTCAAAATCTCACGATACATGGCCCCATTCATTCTTTCCTTTACACGGATCAGTCGTCCTGGTCCCTTTGCAGAAAAACAGCCCCAAAGCATGATGTTTCCACCCCCATGCTTCACAGTAGGTATGGTGTTCTTTGGATGCAACTCAGCATTCTTTGTCCTCCAAACACGACGAGTTGAGTTTTTACCAAAAAGTTATATTTTGGTTTCATCTGACCATATGACATTCTCCCAATCCTCTTCTGGATCATCCAAATGCACTCTAGCAAACTTCAGACGGGCCTGGACATGTACTGGCTTAAGCAGGGGGACACGTCTGGCACTGCAGGATTTGAGTCCCTGGCGGCGTAGTGTGTTACTGATGGTAGGCTTTGTTACTTTGGTCCCAGCTCTCTGCAGGTAATTCACTAGGTCCCCCCGTGTGGTTCTGGGATTTTTGCTCACCGTTCTTGTGATCATTTTGACCCCACGGTGTGAGATCTTGCGTGGAGCCCCAGATCGAGGGAGATTATCAGTGGTCTTGTATGTCTTCCATTTCCTAATAATTGCTCCCACATTTGATTTCTTCAAACCAAGCTGCTTACCTATTGCAGATTCAGTCTTCCCAGTCTGGTGCAGGTCTACAATTTTGTTTCTGGTGTCCTTTGACAGCTCTTTGGTCTTGGCCATAGTGGAGTTTGGAGTGTGACTGTTTGAGGTTGTGGACAGGTGTCTTTTATACTGATAACAAGTTCAAACAGGTGCCATTAATACAGGTAACGAGTGGAGGACAGAGGAGCCTCTTAAAGAAGAAGTTACAGGTCTGTGAGAGCCAGAAATCTTGCTTGTTTGTAGGTGACCAAATACTTATTTTCCACCATAATTTGCAAATAAATTAATAAAAAATCCTACAATGTGATTTTCTGGATTTTTTTCTCTCAATTTGTCTGTCATAGTTGACGTGTACCTATGATGAAAATTACAGGCCTCTCTCATCTTTTTAAGTGGGAGAACTTGCACAATTGGTGGCTGACTAAATACTTTTTTACCCCACTGTAGGTCCACGCTGCGAGAGCGGCCGAGCTCAACGCTAGCCTTTAACGCCACCTTCTGGAATTACGCAACATATTATTACAATTATTCAATTATCAAGAGACATCCATGTAGTCTAATATGATGTTAGTGAGTCCGCTGTTAATTAATAACATTGTTACCTGAGCTTCATCCATGTCTCCTCGCCAAACTTGTCAACAACCAGCGACTTCAAACAGGTGTTGATAAATCCATACTGCAGAGAGAGCATTGTAAACTCAGCAGCATTTCTGTTTTGATGCCATTCATTGAAGATAGGCTATATTTATATATGTAAGAGTGACATAGCCTATTGAATCGTCAATGTAGCCTAATAAGCCTAATGAGTAGGCCTACTGCTGGAAACACATTGAATCATAATTTCGATGAATTCAGTCCAGTAGCCTATATAACATATGCTTGCCTATACTGTAACATATCAGTTTAGACTATCTATCACTATGAGTTAATGTATGGTTCGACAAACACAACTTACCATCTCTTTTGGTTTGGATTCTGCCGACACTTTGTTAACAAACCTTTATTCCAAATTTATCCTTGCACGAACACGACCCCAAGTTGAAACACATCTCTGGAGACATCGGGACCACATACTCTAACGCACAACATTATCTCCGTCGACAGCCTGCCTGAATATTTTTCATTAAAGTGATATGCCTAGGCCTATATCCTGTATATACACAAAAGCTTCAGCTCCTTATTCCATCACTTCTGCCGCTGCGCATCGAATAGTGACTGAAGAAATCCGTTCACCAATCTCCAGCTATTGGCGATGTGAGCGTTGGTGCGCGGTGCGGTCCCGAGGAGTGTTAAAGGCGCTGTTCTGGCGATAGATGTGCTGATCTCAACTCCGTACACGCAGGGGCATCTAGGTGCAGAAGGTCTAATTCACATTAGGCTACCAATGTGACGTCCTACAAATGGTTTAGATTACATATTTGAAATAAAACGACTCATTTATTTATTTGACAGGGACAATTTAGGCCTACATTATGAATGAACATTTCTGTAAATGTGCTGGATTTAGCCAGCTGGCTAGTTTTAATCTGTAGTCCCTAGGCAGGTAGATAAAAACATTTAGCATCACAAACTTTTCACACACACACACACACAAAAAAAAGCAAGAATAATTATAATAACAAATAATATATATATTTTTAAAGACAATAAATGCAAACAATCAAATACACTGAACAGAAATATAAACACAACATGCATCAATTTCAAAGATTTTACTGAGTTACAGTTCATATAAGGAAATCAGTCAATTTAAATAAATTCATTAGGCCCTAATCTGTGGATTTCACATGACCGTGAATACACATATGCATTGTTCACATTTACCTTAAAAAAAGGTAGGGGCATGGATCAGAAAACCATTCAGTATCTGGTGGGACCACCATTTGCCTCATGCAGAGCGACACATCTCCTTTGCATAGAGTTGATCAGGCTGTTGATTGTGGCCTGTGGAATGTTGTCCCAGTCCTCTTCAATGGCTGTGCGAAGTTGCTATATATTGGAGGGAACTGGAACAGACTGTCGTACTCGTCGATCCAGAGCATCCCAAACATGCTCAATGGGTGACATGTCTGGTGAGTATGAAGGCCATGGAAGAACTGGGACATTTTCAGCTTCCAGGAATTGTGTACAGATCCTTGAGACATGGGGCCGTGCATTATCATGCTGAAACATGAGGTGATGGCGGCGGATGAATGGCATGACAATGGGCCTCAGGATCTCCTCACGGTATCTCTGTGCTTTCAAATTGCCATCGATAAAATGCAATTGTGTTCGTTGTCCATAGCTTATGCCTGCCCATACCATTACCCTACCGCCACCATGGGGCACTCTGTTCACAACGTTGACATCAGCAAACAGCTCGCCCACACAATGCCATACAAGCTGTCTGCCATCTGCCCGGTACAGTTGAAAACGGGATGAATCCATGAAGAGCACACTTCTCCAATGTGCCAGTGTTCATCGAAGGTGAGCATTTGCCCACTTTAGTTGGTTATGATGCCGAACTGCAGTCAGGTCAAGACCCTGGTGAGGACGATGAGCACGCAGATGAGCTTCCCTGAGATGGTTTCTGACAGTTTGTGCAGAAATTATTTGGTTGTGCAAACCCGTAGTTTCATCAGCTGTCAGGGTAGCTGGTCTCAGACGATCCTGCAGGTGTAGAAGCCGGATGTCCTGGGCTGGCGTGGTTACACGTGGTCTGCGGTTCTGAGGCCGTTTGGATGTACTGCCAAATTCTCTAAAACGACTTTGGAGGCAGCTTATGGAAGAGAAATTAACATTCAATTATCTGGCAACAGCTCTGGTTAACATTCTTGCAGTCAGCATGCCAATTGTATGTTCCCTCAAAACTTGAGACATCTGTTGCATTTTGTTGTGTGACAAAACGGCACATTTTAGAGTGCCATTTTATTGTCCCCAGCACAAGGTACACCTGTGTAATGATCATGCTGTTTAATAAGCTTCTTGATATGCCACACCTGTCAGGTGTATGGATTATCTTGGCAAAGGAGAAATACTCACTAACAGTGTAGTACAAACAGCAACAAAAAAAGTTCATAAGTGACTTTTAATGAAAAGTTAAAAAGGCATATCTTCACGTCGATGTTGTTGTCAGAAAATCATGTTGGTGGACAGAGGGCCCCGGTATCATGGTTGAGTGTGATTTCAATATAATGCACAATATCAATAGGCTATCATTAGATTAATCTACATGATCCCACCTCATTACCCCCTTCCCACCACCGCCAACACACACACACACATACGCATGCACACACACACACACACACACACACACACACACACACACACACACACACACACACACACACACACACACACACACACACACACACACACACACAGAACAACAAAATAATGATATTCTTAAAGGCCCAGTGAAGTATATATTATACTGTATATATTTCCACACTATGAGGTTGGAATAAATCTGTGAAACAGTTCAATTATGATAATGCCTTTTTAGTGTAAGAGCTGTTTGAAAAGACCACCTGAAATTTCAGCCTGTTTTGGTGGGATGGAACTTTGGCCTGCCTGGTGACATCGCCAAGCGGTAAATTCGTTAATAGACCAATAAGAAAGAGATTTCCAAACCTCTCTACCAGTTTTCAGTTTTCCCCTCCCCACTCAGACCACTCCCAGATAGTCCTAGCTAGCAAAATTCTTGCTTGAGAAATTGCTCTTTGCTAAGAAGCTATTTTTGTTTCTTTTTGACCCTTTTAAATCAAAACAATCACAGTAAGGTACTCAATTGGGTAGCAATTTATAGTAACTCCACGTAATAAAGCATTTATAATGGACTAGTAAATATTTTATTCATCATTACTAATCATTACTCCACTCAGATTTTTTATATAGGTCCTTCTAAACTATTTACTAATCATTAGTTAAGTATTTTTGCGTGGTCTCATCTAAAGTGTGGGCTATTTGTGCTTTATAAATACTTTATAAATGTTTTGAGTGACCAGTATATTTTTTAACCAAAGGATGGACATGCCATTGGTAGACATTCCAGCAGTAGGCCTGCCTACCTGATGCTCCTTAAGGTCTCAAAATAGCTTAGAAATTATCAATGTTAAAAGAATAAGTACACAACACAGGGTGTTAAAGGAAATATACTGAACAAAAATATAAGCACAACATGCAACAATTCCAATGATTTTACTGAGTTACAGCTCATATGAGGAAATCAGTCCATTGAAATAAATTAATTAGGCCCTAATCTATGGATTTCACATGACTGGGCAGGGGCGCATCCATGGGTGAGCCTGGGAGGGCAGAGGCCCACCCACTTGGGAGCCAGGCCCACCCACTGGGGAGCCAGGCCCAGCCAATCAGAATGAGTTTTTCCCCACAAAAGGGCTTTAATACAGACAGAAATACTCCTCAGTTTCATCAGCTGGCGGGGTGGCTGGTCTCAGACGATCCCGCAGGTGAAGAAGCCAGATGTGGAGGTCCTGGCCTGGTTGGACGTACTGCCAAATTCTCTAAAATGACATTGGAGGCAGCTTATGGTAGAGAAATGAACATTACATTCTCTGGCACAGCTCTGGTGGACATTCCTGCGGTCAGCATGCCAATTGCACACTCCCTCAAAACTTGAGACATCTGTGGCATTGTGTTGTGTTACAAACTGCCAATTTTAGAGTGGCCTTTTATTGTCCCCAGCACAAGGTGCACCTGTGCAATGATCATGCTGTTTAATCAGATTCTTGATTTGCCACATGGATGTCAGGTGGATGGATTATCTTGGCAAATGAGAAATGCTCACTAAAAGGGATGTACACAAATTTGTGCACAAAATTTGAGCGAAATGAGCTTTTTATGAGTATGGAAAATGACTGGGATCTTTTGTTTCAGCTCATGAAACATGTACCAACACTTTACATGTTATGTTTATATTTTTGTTCAGTATATATGGAACATTTTATTCACAAAAACTGTTGTGAAACAACTGTTGCAAGGACTTAACGAAGTGTTGTACTGTGAATGTTGTCAACCTCACAAACATGAACTAATCATAAAACAGGGAGATGGCCAGACCGCCAGTTTTTCTACATTTACATTTTAGTCATTTAGCAGATGCTCTTTTCCAGAGCAACTTACAGTTAGTGAGTGCATACATTTTCATACTGGCCTCCCGTGGGAAACGAACCCACAACCCTGGCGTTGCAAGCGCCATGCTCTACCAACTGAGCTACAGGGGACTATATAGTGGTTTTTTATAAAAATTGTACATGTATGATTTAAACGTAGAAATGTTACATGTATGACGTTTAAATGCTTCCAGTGCTTCAGACTATTTTCACACGTCTTTGTTAGGCGGCACCTTTACTGGGCCTTCAGGTAGTAACTCTTTAAATGTAATGGGATAGTTCAGTGAAATAATGTATTGAGATATTTGATTCCTTACCATGCGTTGGCTGAATGTTTCCTTTTATTAAATAATTTTTTTTTGCAGTATTACTTAGTTACTTGTTACAAACAGGATGCATGTTTTGGAATATATTTTATTCTGTACAGACTTCCTTCTTTTCACTCTGTCATTTAGATTAGTATTGTAGAGTAACTACAATGTTGTTGATCCATCCTCAGTTTTCTCCTATCACAGTCATTAAACTCTGTAACTGTTTTAAAGGCACCATTGGCCTCATGGTGAAACCCCTGAGC